TAAGTGCAATTGTTTGCGAAGCAGCTAGAGAAGTACTGTTTTCGTCAAAGAAAAATGAAGTTTGCTGCAGAATGATCTCTTTCCGGAACTACCAACGCATTCCACTTCCATTCAGAACTGTACTCACTTCCAAATGAGCTTCGGCTTTGCACCTCGTAGAGGGGTCAGCAGATGTACAAACCTCTTTCTTCTCCCTTATAAGTATGGTACCAGCTGAGCGCGACAGAAGGAGTGGCCTCAGAGAAACGACAGGCTTAGAAGGCTTCAGAAGAAGCCGATTCGAGATTCAACCTGCTGTCGGCGCATTCTGAGCGGCCCAACCTTCTACAACACCACCTCTGTCTCAACACCCAAAAATTTCTCACGACAGTCATTTCCTGAGTGATTCGACCTTATGCGTCGCAATTCATATTCAGATTTCTCTGCTATTCATAATAGCCTTCTATTCAAAATAGAAGAAATGAATAATTATGTGTGATTTTAGCACAAAACGACGTAAAGGAACATTATAATGAATCATTTAGCGCTTTTGTCCTCGACGACGGAGTCAATATCTAATGAATCCCTCTAAAAGTAATAGGAGTGGTGTACAGCTGACGGGGGTTTTGGACCCCATGTAGTGTTGTGCAGTATGTCCTAACCAATGCACCAACTTTTGTTTCCCATTTCAGCATCAAACTAGTGACCCGATTCAGAGCTTTCCGCCATTTTTTCAGCGCTGACAAACTCGGATGGGACATGTGAAAGACACCTTGTGGAAAGTGCCGTGATGAAATTGTGAAGTTTCGCGAAGAAAAGAAGCACCGAAATGGGTGCGACTGAAAGCTCACTAAGTCTACCGGGATGACAGTAATCCTCGTCTTGCACAAGAGTCCTTCAAATGCTCCCCAAGAGTGTTAGCGTCGTATATCTCTTTTGTGCCGGCGAGCCAACGAAGTTGTCAAAAGAAAGTCAGAGGTTTGATGCTTAGAGCAGGCATCTCTCTCCAGATACCTAAATGTAGCAGGTCGAATTGCTGGCCAGAGCCACTCATTCGTGGGTGGACAGTGGATAATATGGAGAAATTGCCCCGATTTCATGTATTTTCGATTGCTACGACGTTTCTGCAGTGGCTAAAACAGGGTCCCTGAGCGTCAGAAGCACAGTCCACGCTCGCCATGTGGGCGGAAGCGGGCCTACTGTTGTGCCTGTCTCATTGGCCTTCCCTCACCCTTTAGCGTTTCAGAAAGGAGGGGCGCACCAGGAACGTGTAGGGATAGATTTGACACGATCAGCATAGACTGTGTCTCAAAATACCCCAAGACACAGCGAAATGACCTCTGGGGATCGAAAACAGCGCAGAATCTGGTGTTCAAAAGGAGGAGTTGCAAGATGGGGGAATTACTGCGCAGAGCTCGCGTCGCGGCAATAACACTAATCCCAGAACCAGCTTTTGTGAGGGCACCGAGGGCTTGAGGAAGCCATCTTGAGACTACTTTTCTAATTTTTTGACCGACAGGAACCTCCGGAGACTCTTCTTAGAATCAAAGGCGTGATATTCGCAGGAAGGGTGGGGGGGGGAGGTGGACTTGCATCGTGGACGAGCTAACCATGAGTTTACGTGACCGAGCGCTGTTCGGTTTTGGAGGAGCATTTTGCAATTCGCTAGTTCCTTTTTTCCAGTTAATTTTAATTTACCATAAGAAGGCTCATTCCGGTCAGTCCTGTGAATTCTTGTAGAGCTGCGAAACTGTACAAGTGAGCAACTATGATTACAAGAATTCACACGATTTCACAAGGTAGCCGGCTTATGCAGGGTTTGATGATTACCATTTGCTGCCCACCCCCTCCCCCTCCCCCAAGTCGAAATGTGGCTATATTCCATTGCGCAAAAGGGTGACAATGTGTGACTGGTGGTAAGAAATGCACTTTGTCAGGAGTTATAACTAAGGTGTTCCCTTGTTTTGAAACGTTGACAAGGCCAGAGAATATTTTTGTCAATGGGAGTGCAGAAACACCTTCTTATCAGCTCACATTTCATGTTTACCGTTTCCATAAACAATAGATTTTCCCACTTTTCAGCAGTCAGACAGTTTTTCTCTCAGCTATTCGGCTTTATCAGTCATACCTACCTTACAGTAGGAAGGTTTCCCTGTGCTTTCGTTGCCTTCTTTTTCTATTTTCGTCCCTTTCTCTCCCTTTCGCCCCCGCATGTTCATCCACAAGCACTCTTTTTTACAGAGCAAGGCGACAATGATTTGACTAGGCTTGGAAAGATGCACTTTTGGACTTATGAACAATTTCTTTTGAAAATGCCCCATAAGTCAACAACAAAAAGGCGAAATCAAATAAAAGCTACAAAAGTACGACGTGATTCTGGCAAGCGAGCAGAGTAGCTTTGAACTTTGGTGGGAGCGAAGGGAAATATCTCCGGTTAGGGAACATAATCGTTGTGTGAAACAGGGGGTCATATTTTTTAGAAGTATGAAACAAGATCGGGATATATGTCACCACACACACTGATTCTCATGACTATACATCTCCAAAAATGCCCAAGAACTTCTTGAATGACACGCTGATCTTGAAATCCCCCCGCCCGCAAGACAAAGGGTTCATAAGACCCTGTCGCAAACTTCCCTACAACCCACAAGGTTTTCACTTTCGCTCGACTTTTCCTTCGCTGTTGGACGGTGAGGATGTTCAGGAATAAGCCGCAGTAAGGCTAATCTCTCCCAGCGGCACATTCGACCCCTCCCTTGCCCTCAGTAGGACCCTCCCATACAACAATGGTCAGGGCTCACATCGCGCTGTGAGAAATTACGGTATCTGTACGACTACCACCCCCAAACTTCATCATTTAGTGCGTCTCCCTATTCTGACCTCAAAACTCTGAATTTGGTGCACCCCCTCCTATGCTGCCTACCACCTTCCTAAGTTTCTTCAAGGTCCGATCATTTTTCACCTGTTTTGCAAGAAAAATTGTAGCTCCCCAGAGCCCCCACCATCCAGCAGTTGGGGTGTGGACGGGGTCGTCACCGATCGAGTACTGATTTCAACTCTCAAATATAGTAGCTGGTTGCCCTGAAGAGCTGGCAGTGGAGGAGAGGGGAGAAGGCCTGCTCGCAAAAATTGTCTTCGAGGACAAAAACCCCCCTGTCCTGCCCTCTAAAATTCTTCATGGCCCTGCTCCCCAGCAACCACATAAGACCCTTCTGATGGTATTCCCTCAACGATGTTGGGCCCTGACGATGAAGCACTGTGGTTATACCACTCTGCGGGATAACTATCGACTAAATAACTAATAAATAACTATAGACTAATACTACCACCGCTTCTCACTTCCGTCTCAGTCCTCAGTAGCGTGACCAGGTCCGCTAGCGTACGCAGTCAGAAGTGAAAAAACGCCGAAAATCTCTTTGATATGGGAAAAGGCCACTTTTCGAACAACTGAGATGGTCCTGGAGAGCAAAGACCAGCATCCATTTTCATTTTTGTGTAAAGAACACAGGACGAAAATCCGAGCTGACGTGCACTTCGCAATGAAATGGAAAGGAGATTAGGTTGGGAAAAAAATGGAGTGACCGGATTGTGCTGGATTCGTGATGTGATAGCTTATGACTCATCCGCATTGAAGCGTTTCCATACGAAGATATGACTAATTTCCTTCCATAGCGATGTCACACCCGACTCGCCATCCCCTCACCGCAATAGGATTCTCCTAAGAAACGATGATGTACGCTGATG